GGTGCTATTTAAGAGACTGAGCTGAATACAGCACCTCAGACTGAGGAAGTCTCGGATGAGAGACGAAACGTTTCGACCTAGAAGAATCAGTCCAGAGGACCTTTAAATAAAGTTATTACACTGATATAAATTACCAGCTCCATAAAGTACAAGACATCTTAATCACTTGTACTCCAGTTAGATCACTCAGGTCTGCAGATCCAAGTAACTTCAATTTCTTTCAAATCAGCAGAAGCTCCTTCTGTTTGTGCTCCACTGAAATTAAATCTGTTGCTTCTAGACCTGAGAGAAGCCCCAGCTCCAGACCAGAGGGGTCCAAGGTGTGGCCCCCGATCACACCTAAGTATGGTCTAATTTTGGGTTTAAGAGGTGAATGCAAATTTTTAGGGTTATATTTTTATAAATATTAATTTTTATCAAGTTTTCTGGTAAACCTATCTTCCTATAATGTGCAGTATTAATTACCACAAGTTATTTATTTTTCTCACTAACCTTCAGGGAACCTGATAATACTTGCTTTATTTATCCAAGTTGTATGAACAAAGAAAAACATTTGCAGATGATTTTATCAGTGGAACAGAATTAGACTTGATTTAAGACGTGGAGAGAAATAAATGTCATTTATTTCCACATCAGTCACATTTACTGGTGTCCCTCCAAAACATCTTCTTAAATGCTTCAACTGTTTTAGGTTGGGCCATCTCAATATGAGTCAAGAAGTTTCTTTTAATATATTTTCAAAGAAAATTGACTTGTATTAATTACATTATTGTTCCAGAGAAACAAGAAAACACAGACCAAACAAATCAAAGCAATTCAATTATTTGTTTTAATAGGTTAAATGCTTGAGAGGCTTTCAATGTTTTGACTTTATAAACATTTACAACTCCTCCACAAAAATTATTATTTTGTCCTTTCACTAAATTGCTGTTTAGGTTGTAGTAAAAAGTTAAAAATTAACCCCGTCCCCCCCCAAAAAAAAGTATATTCAAATTATTGCAAATTGTCATGTCTCATAAGTATTTTCTAAATGTCTGTTGTGTAATAAAACGTTCATAATTCTGCTCTTACTGCAGTTTTAATCTAAGCTTGTGTGTTTGTAATAAGTATAGATGTGCAAATGACTCTGTGTATTATGTGTATTATATATGAATTATATATATATATATATATTTTTTTTATAAAGTTGTTTTTGTTCCTTTTTGGAAAGCACATGAGG